CTTGTCCCATTCTTCTTCATAGAAAGTGATCTTGTAGCCTGCAACAATATCGATGGTGTGATGGCAGCCCTCAACATCGTTCACGATCCAGATGAGTGGAGACTATTCATTGATTCATCGAAGACGAGTCTTAAAGCTGTTTTACTGCAACATGAAACAACTTTTGAGATGCATAAACTATGACCAACATCAGTGGCAGCTTTGTGGCGATTTGAAGGTTGTTGCTCTCTTGCTTGGTCTGCCGACTGGATACACAAAGTACTGCTGTTTTCTCTGCGAATGGGACAGTCGTGCAAGAGATTCCCACTACATCAAGAAAGATTGGCCACTCCGACTGTCATTGGAGCCTGGGAGGAAAAGTGTTCAGTATCTACCACTTGTTGAATCAAGGAAGATTTTGTTACCACCCTTACACATCAAGCTGGGTCTGATGAAGAACTTTGTCAAGGCCATTGACAAAACACAAGCAGCTTTCAAGTACCTCCGTGGAAAATTTCCAATGTTAAGTGAAGCTAAGATAAAGGAAGGTGTCTTTGTTGGTCCTCAGATTTGTGAACGTCTTCAAGATGATGCATTTGACCATGCACTGCGTGGCAAGGAAAAGACGGCATGGAAAGCCTTACAGTTAGTGGCAATAAATTTTCTCGGAAACAACAAGGCAGACAACTACAGGTTGTTGGTGCAAAACCTCTTCAAGGCATACGCCTTGGTTGCAACAGGTCACTAAAGATGCATTTTTTGCATTCTCATCTAGATTTTTTTCCACTAAACTGCAGAGCAGTGAGCGATGAGCACGGCGAGTGATTTCACCAGGACATTGCAACAATGAAGAAACGCTATCAGGGCAAATGGAGCCCATCAATGCTTGCAGACTATTGCTGGACAGTGACAAGAGATGCTCCATTTAATGAATACAAGAGAGAAGCCAAGAAGCGCCGAGTAGACACTGAATAGGACTAAACTATGTACATAATAGTTTTCTGCCTTTTGTTTCATAATAAATTTTATTTATATAACCCTTTTGCTGATTTTTAAAGCGTTACATAAACAGGACAGGTGACATATTATGGTTGCTTTACATGATAAACAAATGAAAAGACCTAGGTTTACAATTTATGATTAAAACTACTATTTACACAATATACATAGACAAAATGTAAAAACTTAAATATCTTAGAAACAGTAGCAAGTTGTTTTAATTGTCATATTTGAATTCAGCACATCAAATACATAATAAATAGCACATTTATCTCTGAAGCAGACGACTTCTCAAAAATTGTAGACCAGTGTTATCAGACACAGATGAACAGGGCCGCCCAGAGGATTCAGGGGGTCTGGGGCAAAGCAATTTTGGGGGGTCCCCCATCCATAAAAAAAAGTTGCAATACCATAGAATACTATATTCTCGTGGGGCCCCTGTGGAGCCTGGGGCAAATTGCCCCACTTGCGCGCACCCCCCCCCTTTGGGCGGCCCTACAGATGAACACAATTTGTTGGGGAAGAGTCAACACGGCTTTTGTAAAGAGATGCCTCACAAATCATGCCTCACCAATCTATTAGAGTTCTTCGAGAGTAGTCAACAAGCATGAACAATGGTGATCAGGTGAATATAGTGTACTTGGACTTTCAGAAAGCCTTTAACAAGGTCCCTCACCACAGGCTCTTAAGCAAACTAAGCAGTCATGGGATTAGAGGGAAGGTCCTCTCCTGGATCAGTAACTAGTTAAAGACAATAAACAAAGGGTAGGAATAAATGGCCAGTTTTGAGAGTGAAGACAGGTAAATAGTTGGTTCTCCCAAGGATCTGTACTGGAACCAGTGATGTTCAACATAGCCATAAATTATCTGGGAAAAAGGGTAAACAGTGAGGTAGCAAAGTTTGCAGATGATACAAAACTATTCAAGAGAGTTGTCAGCTTTGGATTTAATTAAAGTGTTACAAAGGGATCTCACAAAACTGGGTGCCTGGGCAACAAAATGACAGATGAAATTCAATGTTGAAATGCGCAAAGTCATGCACATTGGAAAATATTCCACCTAATACATACAAAACGATGGGTCTAAATTCTCTTTCTTGAATGGTAAAAATTATCTTGGAGTCATCACAGATCATCTCTAAAAACATCTGCTCAATGTGCAGCAGCCGTCAAAAGAGCTATTAGGAACCATTAGGAAAGGGATTGATCATAAGACAGAAAATATCATAATGGTACGTCCATACCTTGAATACTTTGTGCTGGTGCCCCATCTCAAAAAATAAAAATAAATAAAAATTGGAAAACATACAGAGAAGGGCAACAAAACCGATTAGGGGTATGGAACAGCTTCCATATGAGAAGAGATTAAGACGACTGGGACTGCTCACACAATGCACAGTCATCCTGTGGAGCTTGTTGCCAGGGCATTTTGTGAAAGCCAGAAGTATAACTGGGTTCAAAAAAGAATTAGACAAATTTACGTAAGATAGGTCCATCAATGGCTACTAGCCAAGATGATCAGGGATGCAGAGTTTGGGACTGGATGACAGGGGATGGATCACTTGATAATTTCCCTGTTCTGTTCATTCCTTCTAAAACCATCTGGCACTGGCCATTGTTGGATGTCTGGATATAAAGCAAAATGGGCCATTGGTCTGAACCAGTATCACGTTAGATATACTTTTTGTACTGAGTGCACAGAATCTCTTTTTCAAGACTATGCTCTATTTTAACTTCTAGTAGCCTTGATGGTTTATAAGACCATTATCTGAAAATCCTCCCTTCATGAAGTACAGTACCATAGCACACTCAGTAAAAGCCAGTTTTTCCAAAGGCCTGCTGATTTGAGTGTGCACATAATTTGTCCATGTGTATTTGGCCAACTATCTGGCATGCATATACAGGTGTGGATATTGCATGCAAATTGAAGCAGGTGCAAATTTAAAATAAATTGGAAGTGCTTTGGAAACATAGCCTTCAGTATTTTTATATTGATTAGTTATTCCTACTGAAAAACTGATCAAACATCAGAATTATACACAATCATTGTCGTATGTCACTGTTGGAAGTTGATAGCATTTTAGATATTTATTGGTCAAAAATCATATAGTGCTTTAAAAAAAAAAAACATAAAATTATGCTTACCAGCATTGCAATGTTCAGGAACAACAAACTCAAAAAGGTCCTGTTTAAAGAATGGGGCGTTATCATTATCATCCTCTATTTTGATTATATGCGGCAGTGGTTTCTCTGGTGAATACCCATCTGGAGTGGTTGCATAGCAAATTATCTATAAGAGAGAGAAAACCTTAGTTGCCCACTGTTCTAGAGCAGGGCGAAATATTCCTTTTCAGCCCAGTGGATAACAGGATCTACAGAATAATTTCTGCAAAGCACAAAGTCAAATATCCTTTTCATAAGCAGACAAAACACTTAATAGAAGTAAATGGCTTATGTCTGCAATAGATATTTTGCAGCTATTTGCATATATTAATCTTTCCTTGTTGATCATGGAGGACAAAGCTGAGCTCTTTCTAGCCATTGGTGCACTGGGTTTCTTTTCCTTTTGTGATTAACGGTTTCTGCTTCAGGATAACATGCAAGACCCAATTTCAATAACAAATTTGTTTTCAGTCAGATGCAAGAGAAGATTATTGATGTTACAGGCTGGCAGTGGTAGAAGCAATGCATTTAACTGCTTCCCAGCCCCCATGACAATCATTTGCATTATTTTCCACAGTTACAAGTGAAAGATTTCCATCCTGGGATCTGAATACACTGACCCACTGTCAGTCACAAAGAGACCATCCTTAGCCAACCCATCTTGTGATCCAAGCGTCACACTCAATGGTGCTCACTTAAGCAGAGTGCAGCTTTTGGCAAAAGTGGAAACAGAGGAGTGAGCAACCAATGCAATACCAGCAATTGTGTGTGTGGGGACTATGTAGAGGTAGATACAAGAACAAGCTACAGAATGATTGCTTCAGTTTTACTGAAAGGTGCATTCCCTCTGCCTCTGGGGGTAGTGGCAGCACTTTTTGTAGACTTTCCACACTTAATATTATTTCTATATTCTCCTTGGTGGGCAATCTGAAGCTGCCTTGTCTGACACTTTCCTCCTCACTGTCAAAGTCAGACATACTTTGCAGTTCTACAAATTCACGTGGCAGACGCATTAAACTTATTAATTCCATAAGTTTATCTTCTGGCATACCTCCTTCCTCACCCTACAAAGAAACGTTGACTGACATTAGCATGCCACACTTATGGTGTGCCACACTCTAGTGTTGCCAAAAACAGCAGAGCCAACACTTTGTATAGTTTTGCTTGTTTCTACCTGAGACAACAGTCAGGCAAGTAAAAACAACGTCTTTTCAGTTGTGCATAGACAAATGGTGTCCAAACATAGCAAGAGTCTCTGATACTCTTCTATGTGTTTGAGGTGCAGAAAGTGAAGAAGCAATGGCAGTAGACATAATTGACCATGTGTTTCTTATTTGCTTTCTTTTCAATTAAGGTCTGAGCCTGGCTAACCAACTGCCTAAGAGAAAGGAGGAAGCATATTCACTGAGAAATAAGCCGGAGGGAAGCAGAATGAACAAACATCTAATGTGCAGTGGAATTATTAGACTATATTATTTTTACTATTTCCCTATTGTGTAGGAAAACAATGGAATATTAATGTTCCCAACAGTCCATTGGAAGCAGACCTATCCACTTCTGCCACTTCCTTACACCTCTCAGCCAGCAGAGAGAGCAGTTTACCCATTTAATAAACATTAAAACTGAACAAGCAAATGCTGAGGAACTAATACAGCTCTCTTGATTATCTTTTTGTCTCATTTTAACTTTACGTGGACTTTTTCAATTCTTCCACCAGAAAAGAAGTCTTGTAAAACTAGATCTTCCTTCACTTCCACCACCAATTTCTGTGCTGTAAATATCAGGGATACTATTTGGGATAGTTGTCTGAGCACAGATGCATTTTCCTCCCATTCCTGTTAGAACACACCAGTGAAGTACTTTAGCAATAGAATGAAAATACATTTAATTGTGTATACAATTTAGGCCCTTACCTGAAAGCTTGGATACTGTTCACGGTCTACTGGGCCAGTAGCAAAAATATTCCCAGTTTCTCTCTCTATATAAAACAAACCCTTTGGATCTTGATCAATTCCAGGACCAGCTGCAGTGTAATGAATGACGTAGTTTTGGGCTGTGTCAGACTGGACCTATAAAGAGTAATTTGTTAAACACAGACAAAATAATTCATCATTAAACACCTTTCTGTTTCTGTGTTTTCTGAATTAATGTAAGCGTGGGATAGAAAACAGTGTCACTCTTCAGAAAAGATGTATAAAATCCAAGTCTTAGATTCAGGTACTACAGCAGCTCAAACTTTTACACAGAACAGGAAAACGGTCTGCTTTGTGCCAATCTTCAGGGCCGGCTTTAGCAAGTGCGGGGCCCGATTCGTGGGGCTTGTACTCACCAGGCGGCGCTTTGAGTCTTCGGTGGCACTTCAGATTGCTGCGCTCCGGGCGGGGCTTGCTGCGCTCCAGCCGGGGCGGTGGCCCGAGGAGCGGGGCCGCGGGCTTGCCGCGCTCTGCCTGGGCGCAGGGCCCTCTTAGGTGCGGAGCATGATTCGGGGGGAATCGGCCTAAAGCTGGCCCTGCCAATCTTAACTACCTTTATAGTAAATGCACATATGAGAAAGGCTGCTAATCCTTCACAAATACCAATGGAAGAAAATCCAGCTTGGAGTAGAGTGTATGGGGAAGGGGAAGATGTGAGTAAAATATATTTAGTCTCAGCATCATTATAGACAGAGCTGCCAGGTGTAGCTAAGGCTGCCTAATGCTTTTCATTAGAAACCCCTATTTTCAATCACTCACTCATAACCATTCTGGTTAACATTTGCTATGTCTGAGATTGACTTTTTAGGCAAAACTGGTTCAGCTATTTATGACTGGAAGTGATTTGTGGGGGTTTGCGCCACTGTTAGTTCTTACTAAAAAGTTTCTTTCAAGAAATTTAGAACCTTCTTTCTTTGGAGCAGGGACTTGATATCTGGCAAGGGGATAGCACTGGGGTCAGTGCGATGCCTTTTTTCTTGTCCTCATAAAAATCCACCCAGATTTCACCTGATTATAATCCTCTAAGTAGTATTTACACATAAGTAGAGCTTTTTAGAGGAATGCTGCTAAAATCTCCAGAAGTGCAATAAGCATGCTCCAGACCAACAGATCTCCATGGCAACTGCAATAAACATGTTTTCAGGCCCCACCCGGTCTCCTACATAGTAGGCAGAGAGCTAGTGCTCCAGACAGAACATAAACATAGCAGCAGCATCTCTCCTCTTTCGCCTCGGTAAAGAAGTGCTAGACAAGGCTGATGTTAATAACTTTGCACAGTTCACAGCCTTTATTATTGAGCGAAACCTCACACTTCTACTTTACTAGGCATGCAAATAGCATTCTCTCTCCTTTACACTCTTAATTTGGCCCCATTATGTATATGCATGCTACAGTCTTCAGTGACCTGATCATATTATTTGTTCTACGGGACCCCAGTATAGACAAAGAATGAGACAAAAGTTCTGAGAAATAGGACTGGGATTCAGGAGTTGTGTTCTAGACTTACTTCTGCCTCAGACTGCCTATGCGTATTTGGCAAGACTATCAATGCATATACACATAGGGGCTGAATTAATCTTACGATTTTTTTCCTGAAAAGCAGTTACTAAGGATTCACCTTAGTTGCTTTTCTAAAACAATAATGTAGTTGGTTTTCTTCACTTTTTTGCAAAGATGCCATCTGAATCCAAAGGCAGTGGCTTACAGTATTTTGTACTGGTCAGATAGGAAAGTCACTTACATTATAAAAATAGCTGGTGTATAAAATGTACCTGTTGAATTTGCATTGGAAAAGGTCCAAGAGAGTTCTCCATCATAGAGGATGGGAGAGGAGCCCACCTTCTTTTGGTTCGCCTGAGGACTGTATCTCTAGTATGTCTTGTCTTAGGTGTCTGGATTTAGAAGACCAAAAGAAATTAAATAAAGATCAACTCAAAAATTCTTAAGGTTTATATTCTTACTTGCTTCCTCTCATTTCCCACCCTCTGCCCCCAGCCTCACAGATTTTTCAGAACTCTCTCCAAATCTTAAGGACCAGTTTTTGCTCTTTTAAATCCTCTTTTTCACCATTCTGCTTTCAGCCCTGTGCAACATTCATTATTTTAATACTTCCTACCAATATACAGTGCTCATGAAGTTTTTTAATTGCTTAAAATTTGCTTTTCTAAAATCTTAATGCCCTCGATGAACATCAATTTCCAGCCTTTGCCACCTCAAGGAGTCCTGAAAATTTAAAACCTATGCACTTATTAGGTATTGCTAAATTAAAAGTACACAATCTACTATACAATAGCTATGCCTGATCATTTTAAGAGTTATAAACAACAACTTTTACACAATGAGAAGCCAAACTGTAAAAAGAGTTTCCAAAAAATAAAAAGTAAAATGTCTGTAGCAATTGTGAGCCTACCTTTTTTTGATGAGCTAGCAAATTAACGTGTATCTTCTTTTCTTCATGTCTTTGAATGTCCTTGAGTAATATGGTAAAAGTCTTTTTTTCAGAAGATAAAGAAATGATATTTGTTGTATACACAGAACCATCTTCTAGAATTCTAAAGTCAGGATCGCTTGAACTGATATGTTCTGTGGACTTAAGGCACTCTTTCAGATTTACTGTAAGAAAGAAATTTCAAAGATTCTCTCAAGTCACAACAAGACAAATGGTTTCAAACTTACATGCCTAAAGTTTGGTTTATATTTATGCACCTATGTAAAAGTGGCCCGATTTCAAGTCAATGTGCTTAGCACCTCTAAAGGTCAGACTAATTTTATTTAAGAATGTAGAGCCCAGCTTCTGAACAAGTTTACATTCATGTTGCACATCCATCCATTCGTTAAACACATTAGGCCATTTGCAAAGGATACTTGGCCATAGTGAGTACTTTACACAGACACTGTCGGGGGGGGGGAAAGGGGGGAGAATAGGTTTAATTTTGGTGACTAATGTTTCCCAAAGTAATATAATTCTTCTTGTGTATTTTTTGCCCCCCAAAGTGCTTACCTATCCTAAAATAGTGCCATCACCCATGTACATAAATAATTCTGCTACAAGACAGTGGGTGAAATCTTTTCTCCATTGAAGTCATTGGCAAGATTCCAACATACTTCAACGGGACCAGGATTTTTTCCAGTATGGTCAGACAAACTTGTTCATAAAAACAGATTCCATCTCAGTGTTTTCTAAGTATAACCACTGAGGGGGTAATTGACAGTGTTCCTTTCTCTTCTTAAAAACAGTCTGCCTTACTGTTGAATGTTCAAACATTATTACAGAGCATTTCAGCAAATAATACCCCTTATTGTTCAGCATTCAAGACACCAGGGAATCTTCCTTCCTTTGCTAATGGCCCTGCTTTCCCATAAGTGAGCACTTGAATATGAATTCTGCCTCTGAGGCAAGGTAAGTCAGCATTATTCCTAGTACTGAACAGCTCTGTGTATTGTTATATCCTGTAGGATATTAAAATCATACAGAACTTAGCAATTGTGGGGAAAATCCTTGCTTATTTTACTATTGTGCTATGAGTCACCAGTTGTATTACAACAAAAATGGCATTCTTTCTCAATAAAATGTTAAGGAACAGCATTCAGGCTACAATGGTATGGATAAATATTTGTAGACAAACAGATGCATTGTATAAAATTCTTCCATTTAGTAATCCTTTATAGTTAAAACTTTTTGAAATATTCTTCTTGAATAAAGTGAAATTAAATGAATTACTTTCATATTCATTCAAGTTAAAAGAGGATACATACCCACCTCCCTCATACAAAATACACAATGATCAGCTGCATAGATTTTCATTATAAAAAACTGACATTAAGGTTAGCTTCTCCATTGCATGTCCTTTTTATTCACCCTCATTTTAAAGGTAGTCTTGATTAATAAACATTCAACAGACTGATGGGATAAAAATCTACTGTTCCTTCAGTAGAGACTAGGGCCACTACCCTGGCCCACGCTCCAAAACTGTGCCAATACTGGTATAAGACAGCCTCAGATTCAGCTCTCAGAGGATCTCCATTGTGTAGGAAGATCCCCAGGTGGCACAGAGGCTCTGTAGCAACTCCTACATCACACCCTCCCAGAGGCTGCCACAGGAGACTAATCTGGAAAAAGAGGGTGTTGTCTGGGCTTCCCTAATCCCCGTCAAATTGCTTAAACTTGGGCTGCTCAACCCAGTACAGAGCAGCCCGAGGATTGAGGAACTTCTCTCCTGAATACTGCACTAAATACTTCATAGCCACAGCTGAGGATTTGGCCATATGTGATTTCACTGCTCATACGTCAGTGACACAGGAAAAATCTGGTTTTGGTTGTTTTTTTAAAACAATCCAAGTTAAAGACTATAGGGCTTCACAGTCCATTTTGGTCAATTTCACGGTCGTAGGATATTAAAAATCATACATTTTCATGATTTCACCTATTTAAATCTGAAATTTCACGGTGCTGTAATTGTAGGGGTCCTGACCCAAAAAGGAGTGGGGGGGGCGGAGCTCAAGGTTATTGTGTGGGGGAGGGGGTTGCAGTACTGCTACCCTTACTCCTGCAGAGCTGGGCAGCTGGAGAGCGGTGGCTGCTGGTCGGGAGCCCAGCTCTGAAGGCAGAGCCACCGCCAGCAGGAGCGCAGAAGAAAGGATGGCATGGTATGGTATGGCCACCCTTACTTCTGTGCTGCTGCCTGCAGAGCTGGGCCCTCGGTCAGCAGCCGCCTTTCTCCAGCTGCCCAGCTCTGAAGACAGCGCAGAAGTAAGGGAGGCAATACTATGACACCCACTCCCCCCCACAACTCCCTTTTAGGTCAGGACCCCCAATTTGAGAAACATTGGTCTCCTTCATGAAATCTGTACAGTATAGGGTAAAAGCACACGAAAGACCAGATTTCACAGGGCAAGACCAGATTTCACAGTCTATGATGTGTTTTTTATGACCGTGAATTTGGTAGAGCCCTAACTATAGAAAATGTATCCCTTCTATGTAAGCTGTGAGTGTTCAGCACTTGCAAAGATTAGACCACATATTTAGATCTTTTTTTAGATACCTATCTTTAGGCATCCAAGTTGGAAAATGTTGGCCAAAACTTCTGCCTTGAATAAAAAATAAATCTGCTAGTAATTGGTTATAACAAGAATCAAAATGTGCACACGCTGCTGGTGAGCAGCGTTAAAATGAATAACAAAACACAGCAAATCCTTCAGTAAAAGGCTAATCCAATATGCAGTTGAATTTAACTAACTGGGCGTTGTCCCAACTGCAATAAATTGTATTACAAAATAAATCAGTATCTCCTCTTCATTGTAAAAGCAGCTACAGAAATGGTGAAATGATTATGTAGAGTTTTGAAGGACATTTTGAAGCTTCTCACCTCTGCCAACTAATGTTCCAGCCTCTAATTTAGAAGGAACATTAAAAGTGACTTTCTTGCAAGCTTCACAAAATAAACTCAATACCTGAAAAGGAAAGAAAACAAAAAAAGAATAGTCACCCTTGCTGTGAAAGTATTTTTAAACATTGTTTGAAATCATGGCATAAAAAGTATAGAGGAGCTAGATTTTTAGTCATGTTAAATAAAGAATACCAAAATGTAAAGTTGAAACATGTATTACATATTTTGGTGACTGATTTCAAGTTACATGAGTAATGAGACATACAGGGAGGTTTTTTGCTTTGTTTTTTTAAACAGTCCAGTGAAACAACCTAGAAAGTATCATTTATTACAAATGACAGGAAAGCACTGTGGCATAATGTACAGGGTTAGAACTCAGAAGATGCAGGGTCTGTTCTTGACTCTCACCATGATGTGTGTGACTTCGGCAAAGATATTTAACCTGTGATTGATATGCTGGGCCCAATTGACGTCACTGGCACAACTCCTATTGACCTCAACAGGGTCAGGATTACACTCGGCCTCCCGCTTCACCACATTTTGAAGTGGGAAAATAAAAATTTATCTTCCTTTAAAGAGCACTTTGGACTCCATGGATGAAGTGTACTAAGTGTACTAAGATTCAGCAATTCATAAAGTTTATTTCTATAGGGTTGCATTGATTTGTAATGTTTAAAGGAATAAATATTTTATTAATGTCATATAATACTTGGCACATACATATTAATTTGTATCTTCAAAAGTACTTTACTAAAACTACTTAAGCCCCAAATCCTTCAATTGCATCTGATTTATAAGGCTCCAAATATGTGCAGAGGTCTGTCAACTTACATATATCACATTACAGAATTGGGGCTTCAAACTTCAAAACGCCCATCTGTAGCTGGTAAATAATAACCACATTTTATAAAACGATATGGAGGCATAGCGGTTCCTAGTTCAAAAAGCAAGCAGTCTTTGAAATTCTAGCCAATCATGATTTTAAAACTGATTAATTTTGAAACACTCTGGATAACCACAGCATTTAAGATATTTAAAATATTGTGTATGCATCAGTAAAAGCGTCTTTTCCGATTTAAATTATTTCTGTTGTTCACATCCTTTCATGAATCTCAACCATATAACTGAAATCACTATTAATTTCTCAGCTAACATTTGGGCTATTTGTAATAGTAATTAATCCTTACAAAACTTCCCTGTCTTTCCTGGAAAAAAAAAATGTTGCTTGTGTATTATTTTTAATTTAAAAAACAATACACAATATAATCAGACACAGTTTAGGAGTTTTTTTAGGCCAATGAAATGTTATTTCAAAACATTACCCACCAAGTTTAGTCTGATAGTCACATGAAGAGTTATGGAAGTAATATATCCAAAGACAAGATAAGACTAGACCTGCTGGTAAATATAAAAGGGTTCAATATGCTCTGAGTGTATATATGACACAGATGCCTACACTTGCATTATGTAAGGAGTGTTTGTTATGTTGAGTTTTGTTTTTGTTTGTTTGTTGGGGTGCAAGAGAAGGTGGGGAATTTTGCTTTCTTTAATTGGACTGGTAAGTAAAGTACGATTAGCATGGCTTTTCCCCCTCCATTCATCGAGATTACAGTAAGGGTAAGTAAATGGATTGTGTCTGGGCAGGTAAGTTTTCGTGAGAATTTTCCAAGACTGAGTGCATTATATATTAAAATAATCAATTTTGCCTGGCAATAGTATGGAAAGTTTACTTACACAGGGACAATCTACTCACCTATTCTTTACTCTGATTATGATAATGGGGGGCGGCCAAGCTAACGTTACTTTACTCACCCATTAAAAAGAGTTGTTTTCCTGAAGGCAAATAGAATTGGTCAGGGCTGATATTTATTTATACTCATACATAATTAAGTTACCCTGCATTGAAATGGGCCAAAAACTGTTCACCCTCCAATGCATGGACCCTCTGAAGGAAATAGGAGTACTTGTGTGAGCAGGATTTGGCTTCAGATGAATAACTGAATTTGCCTTTTATAAATACAACATAAAGAAACTTTCCTTTTCATACCTGATTTATTGACTAATAATAAATATATGTATTAATGATAATCCTTTACTGCTGTAATAACCAATAGAATCACAGAATATTAGTGTTAGAAGAGACTTCAGGAGGTCATCTAGTCCAATCCCCCGCTCAAAGCATGTCTAGTCTGACAGCCCTAATCAAGAAACACCACTTAAAAAAACGGAAAACACACAACAACCAAAAACCCCACAAGCACCATTTTGGGCAGTTGGACTAAACAAATCTATAGATGTAGGTGACAAAGCACCAAAGTCAATTTAAATTTTTCTGACTCATCTAGTCTTCCCTTTCTAAAGTTCATGTAAGTAAGGCTTTCATACCAGAAAGGCACATAGCCTCTTCACCATACAACATGATATTCCTTCCATGGCATATAATGGTGCCTTTCGACACTTTAATTTACAAGTTCATGTAAAAGGGGCAAAGGTTACTAAGCCCTAATAAAATATATATATTTATTTTTAAAGTGAGAAGCCAGGAATGAACTTCAACAAGCCTTCACTGACAACTTGGGCCCAAAAAGGTTCAAATGAATTCAGGAAAAGTTTTTGTTGGTTTGTTTGGGGGGGATTTGTTAAGAGGGGAAATGGTTCTCTCTGAATCTAGACTCTGCATCTAAACCAAAGTTTCACTTTTTTTTTAAGTGACACTTATTCAATAATCAGCAGACACACAGTTAACATTTCACTAACGCTCACTGCATTTGGTTTCTTCGAAAGAGAAAAAAGGAGGCTGCTCTGATTGATCCAGACAAACCACATCAACGCATCTCTCGGGGGGGAAACAACTCCAAACACACACAACTACCACCGCCCTAGCCGTGGTACAAAGAACAGCTTCTCCCGCGCCGCTGCTTACAGCCGCACCAAAACCTTGCGGGTAACCACGGACCGTATCCTGCGCGGGTGGCCCCAAACTCTCCCCAGCGGCGGCGGCAGCGGGACCAGCCCGCAGAACACCGCGGCCCGGGCAGAGGCGCTGCGCTGCTCGGCGCCCGCTGTGGGGTGGGGAGCGCTGGCCACACTCACCAAGAGGCCGAAGAGGAGTTGCCGACAGGCGGTTCTGCAGAGCGAGCCCCCCTGGCGGGCTGCGGCGGGGGCCATCTCGGCGTGGCTGGGGGCGGCGGAGGCTGCTGGCTGAGCGCGCCCGCGGAGGAGCAGGGGGCAAGGCTGCTGCTGCCGGTGCGGTGGCGAGCGGGAAGGCGGTGGCTACTTTCTTTTCCCTCTTTTTGTTCGGGGCGGGTGGGGCGCAGCGGCAGACGAGCCGTGCGGCTCCTCGCAAGGACTTGAGTTGTTTGCTGTGCGCCTCGCCTGGGCCAGGAAACTCCCTTCTCGGCCAGCCCCCTTCCTCCGCCGGCCAGGTCGGGCCAGGCGCTGCTTCCCCTCCTCCGCCCACCGCGGAACCCGCCCTGTCCCCAGCGCTGGGCGTAGCGGCGCACGAAGAGGGAGGCGCCAGGCACACCTGAGCCCCACTTGACTGGATGGCTGTGGCTCGGGTGGTTTCCCCACCCTGGCTGGGGGCAGTCTCGGCGGCGGCGCCCTTGTACTGGCAGCGCCCTCCCGCCTTCCCCTGCCCAGCTGGGACCCCCTGGTTGTCCCCGGGGGCAGGGACCGCCCTAGGAGCTTGACTTCACTTCCCCAGACAGCGAGTGAAATCCGGCCCCCATGCACGAGGTAGAGCAGGCAAAGGCGCAGCTGGAGCCGAGAAGGGGGGGCCCGGGGCTCAGGGTCAGTCGCGAGGGGAAGGGAGGCGGGGATATTGGAAGCGGCTTTGCAGGTGAGCTTGGTGAAGTTGACAAAAGCCTGGGGGCGTTCGCATCTCAGCGCTTGAGCCGCCGTTTCCAGCCCCAAACCTCCCGCAACGGAGGGAGTGTGAGTCAAGCCTCACAACTCACAAGACGAGCTTTAAAATGATGAGGTTTAAAAAAAAAGTTTGTGGTTCTTTTTTATTGGGCTTCTGATTTTTATTTCATTTAGAGTTCACATTTTCAAGCAACCGAGCTGTCTAGATTTCCTTTTTTTTTTTAAGAGAAAACTTGAGATTCTCACTTAATTACATTATTCCAGAGCCTGGGGTGTGAAGAAAAAGCAACAGCTGGCAGTGCTGAGTATTTCTGTGATGGTTTTAAATATTCAAATGGACAGTGATTTTAAAAAAATAAATGTTTTTCCCCCTCCCCCCAAACTAAATATTGCAATGTTAAACAAAATGAAATTGACCAGAAACAAAGGTGAAGATGGGTTTTGTATTTTGTAGTCCAAAGTGAGTGAGGTACAAAAAGTAAACAAACTACTTAAATAGTGAAAAGTAAATTATTATTTTTAAATACATTCAATTTATCTTCACCCACGAAAGCTTATGCTCCAATACGTCTGTTAGTCTATAAGGTGCCACAGGATTCTTTGTTGCTGTTGCACCTAGGGGCTTGTCTACATTTACTGCACTGCTGTGGTGCTTGGTGAAGATGCTGCCTATGCCTATAGGAGAATTTCTCCTGTTGATGTACCACTGTCTACACCAGGGGTTAGGCTGCTATAACTATGTCGCTCAAGGGTGTGGATTTTCCACACCCTGAGTGATGTAGTTATTTCAACATAAGTGCCTTGCGTAGACCAAGCCTAACCATCTTTCAGTCTACTTTGCTTCTAGTTTATCCTTTCAGTTAAAGCCCTGATTATCCCTCACCTTGTACGTTATAGGTCTGATGTATGGGATTTCTGCACAGGCTTGTAGAATCTGCCCCTAAGTGAAATAAGCAGAAAAGAAGAACTGACCTACTGATGGGGCATGTCAGCTGTACCATGCATTTTCATTACAGACTTTTCTGTATTTAATAATATTGCTAATGAAATATTTTTTTGTCAAATATGTGTGCCGGGAAACTGGAATTCGGGAGCTAACATTTAGGAACTGGTAGCTTTTCCCCCTTTTTGCTTAATAAACATATCCTGCCAATTCCCTCTATCTTTAAGGCAAATATAGAGCCAAAGCATGACCCATTCTGCACGCCCATGGAGGCATCAAACTCTCTTTACTACTCTGTGCCATCTATTCATACTGTGAATGGCAGCATGGGGAGACATAAAACTTCCTCAAGACCACTACATTCCTCATAATATTTGGGTGTAGAGTGGATGTCAAGGAACAGGGAATACTCCATTCCCCTGCACCAGCCAACACAGTTGCACCAAGGAATATGTACTGCACCAGGTATAGGGCTGCCACAGGTTACATACCCCCTGGAGCAGGGAAACAGATGGTGACAGCTCCTGGGGCACCGTAGCTGTGTGTTGCCCCATACATAGGGCTTGTGGCAAAAATCACAATTGTCCCATAGTAATTATGTTAGAATGAGTTACAGTACCATGCTAACCTTCAAAATATTAATGGGTCATAGCCTACCATCAAAATTACACAACTTTCATTCATTTCAAAAAGAATTGCAGACATGGTAAAATGCCAGGATATGGCTACAATTTGGACCCAATTATGACACATTTCCAAATGTAATGCTCCAAGTGAATCAGACTACTCATATTATTAAGCATTATGCTCCACAATAAGTATTTGCCCTTTTGAATCCTTAGTTATGTGTCAGCATATTTGTCTGGAGAAATCTATAGCAGTATAGTTAACAAGAGCTGGGTGATTCAAACTCCTTATTCTGAAGGAGTGGCTAAAAACCTGAACCCTCTTATCACATTTACATAAATATTTCAGTGCTTGTAGACTCGTACTCTGAATGTATTTACCCTTCACCAAAGCTAACAAAGTACTGTCTTTAAGATAAGAATATGCTCCCCTAATTGAAATCCCAGTACACTTTATTGTAATTCTTCTACTGGTCTCCATTTCTACAGATCATTATTGGCTTCTGTTGGTTGGTTTCTCCTGGCAGACTAGTAGCCCTGGGAGCCAGCAAAGTAATAGGCCTGTTCCATTGTTCCAAAAATCTATTTGCCAACTGGACTCAGATAAAAATTTTAAACAGAAAATTCCCTTGGGGTTGGTGGAGAAAAATAGTTTTTATTTTCATATTTCACAAACAGGTAAACCAGGCCCTTCATATGCTCAGCACTACGTGAGGTAACTAGGAGCTTATGTATATCTACAGGTGGATCTTTCAGTCTGTTTTCTTTCTCTGCCAGCTTCTTTTCTCAATGTATTCCTGGCTCTAATGCTTTCTTATTTTCTTTTCTTTTTATTTCTTCTGTTCACTTTCACTTCTCTTTAATTCATCCATGGTTCTTCTCACACATTTTAAATTTCTGCTTGCTGACTGTTCCCTATTTCTTTCCTCTAAGGTGGAGCCTGCTTCTCTTACTACATTTTATTCAGTTTTCTCCTCCTCCTCCTCTGCCCCCTGCCAAAAATCTGACCATTCCGGTTTCTACAAAACCTTTAAGAAGGTTCTGATTCATCCCTTCGCTGAAAACATGTTCCTTGATGTCTGAATAGAAAGAAAGTAAGAAAAATATTATACCATATGTACCCTACAGCAACAGTACCCTGAAAACAAAACAGTTGTTTAAGATGTACCCTTTAGTATAGATTCAATAATAGATTTATAGAATTTGTTTGAATGTCTATATGGATGAATGTATATTTTCATTATGTTCTTAAAGAAAAATAGAAGAAACACAAACAACTTCCTCAAATGCCTTTTACTAGTCACTGTAGTAAGTAGTCCAAAAGCGGAATTGTTCTGGTATGTGTTTACTTTCTCAACAAAACAAAAATTCAAATATGACACTTGTATTAAAATAAACTAAAAATACTAAGTTTGGGCAATAGTTTAGAATAAAATTTCATTAACTACAGTTTTAATACCATTTTAAGATATTTCTTGTCTTGCAAACTGTAAGCGAAAGCATGTTGCTAAAAATGATGGCAATAGAAATGAGCAATTGTGTTAGTTCACTTAGAGTCACTATAGAGTTTTGCAGAACTTTCATTAACATCAATGACAATTCCAACTGCAGAGCAATAGGAAGATTCGGAACATCTTCCTTTCCATGTTCAGGCAGGACTTGCTACAATCATTCATGTCTTTTTCAGCTACAGAAAGAAATACCACAATGTGGCTACTGTTGAAGACCATTTTGAAGCCTCAGCTAGTTAAAAATGTCCCATTCACTACAGGAGCTTTCCATCAGCTTCTGAGTGCACTTCAAGGTGTTGGTTTTTAACCAATAAAGCCCTATATAATTTATGATCTGGCTACTGTAAATACTGTCTCTCTTCCTGTGTGTCATTGCAGTGACTTCAATCAATTGGTACACTTATGTCACTAGATGTGTATTTCTGAGGCCTAGTGGCAGGGGCCAGTAACTTGGGGTAAAGTTTGGCACTTTGTACCACACTATTTTGAGCATGCAGCCCCTTCAAATGGCCCCAAGAGGATCACTTTAGGGCAAGGTGGATCCTCCAGTGGTATAAAACCAGTGTTGCAACTCCAATACCACCTCCTTCCTACTGGTGGCATAGACATATGATCTTGGAAAAAGGGATTTGCTTCACTGATTACTAATTGATCCATGGGCCCCTTGGAATATAATCTAATTCCAAGTGTTCTGGCTGGTTGAAGTTATTTAGGAATATGAGAGCAACACATCACAAGCCAAGGATTGGAGTGAGGGGCCTAGAGACTGCCTTTGCAGCTTCCCTTCTGAGTGGCACTGTATGCTCCTTGATTGCAGTAGCCAAGAACCTAAATCAGAATGTTTTCAGTGCAGCATTACTTGCTCTGAAACTCACTCCCTTGGTGGTCCACCAGAGGCCATATTTAGTGTACTTTAAAATATGGGTCAAGAGACATACTATTGCCAAGCATTAGACTATGAACTGTTCTATATGTTGAAGGGAGTCTAACGTGGCAAATGTTCTTAATTTATATCATGCACTCAGTTATGAAGGGTATATAAAAAATAAATGAGACTGGCCTGAAGAAACTAATAATTCTCCAAACTCTGCCTTTATTAATCCATCAGAGGGGATGATATGCAGCTTGTCTTTAATTGTGAGAATAATTATTAAAAAAAGGTTTAAATCCTTCAGACTTTACTCATTCCCAATTGACATTTGGACTGAGTAAGACTGCAGAATATGGCCCCATGCTTTTACAGTATGTTTTCTTTTTGTCATGAGAAACCACCTAACACATCCAGAACGTCTAAATAAAATGTCTAATTTTAAAATTATTCTCATTAAAAAGTTTTTGTTTAATATTTTTTTTAAGTTTTATCAGTCTCTTCCCTAAATAAAACGATACACTCAAGCATACTTTAACTAGCTTTTGTTGTTTTTACCTAGTGATTTATCTCAACATTTTCATATGAAAATCACCATTTGCAAAAGGTGTATTATGTCAGGTATGAATATACCTTTTGTCACAGCAAAACCTGATTTTCATCCAAACCTCTGTGAATTATGAGATCATTACAGATATGTGCTTCATTGTGCCTAGTCATTCAAATACACCTCTACCCCTATATAATGCGACTCGATATAACACAAATTCAAATATAAAGCAGTGCTCCGGGGGAGTAAGATTTTTTGGCTCCCGAGGACAGCATTATATTGAGGTAGAGGTGTAATAGATAATGTCACTTGCAGGTTTAAGTG